GTATCATTTTCTACTAATGATACATGTGTACMTGCTGGGCCCTGAAGTCAAGTGGGACACTATTCCCCATGTTCTGCCCACACKGATTTTTGCTGGGCATCTGCTGTTTATCATAGCAACTGATGACATCTCAGCTCTACACAGCTAGGGAGTCACAAAATTCCCTTGAGCTAGTAGTCTGCATGTGCCTCACAGACTTCAAATATTGCTGTGTTCTCTTCAAAGAAGTAAATGAGCTTGTAGAGCCCCACACACTCTCTGCAGTGCCCTGGCATGCCTTGACACACAGTTTAGAACCAKGGGTAGAAGCACCAGAGTGGCATGAACAGGTAGAGACAGTCAAGTAGCTACAGGTGTGGAGCCTAGGTGTGACTGCCTGGCGGAGCCCCACTAACTCGGAGCCTGCCGCGTTGGGTAATGTGTGGACCTTAGCACAGGCACATTCGATGGCCTCAAGGTTAGTGACACCTGGATGAAGACCCTGCTCCTGTCCTGTGGTACTGGACATCTGTGAGCCTGTCTCTGGGTTTGTAGAGGGTTAATGGAAGCTAACTTAGGAGGCTGTGAGAGTCCCATGGTATAATTTTACATGCAGAGTCCCAGCCTGTCTTTCTGCCCCCAGGGACTGCTACTACGACAACTCAACCACCTGCCCCAAGTGTGCCCGGCTCAACTTGAGGAAGCAGTCACTCTTCCAGGAGCCCGATCCAGACTTGGATGCCTAGAGCCCTGGGCACACCACCTGCCTCTCTGGCACCCACCCCACTGGCATTGCAAAGCCAGGGTGCTGTTTCTGCCCTGAAGACCCTTTGGGTGCATCCCTTGGATGTCTTCACTCCTGCTGGGCCAGAAGTGGGTGWGCAGTGCCCACCAGGACTGATGMTCTCCAGGTGCTGGCTGGACTTGGGGCATCTGCACCTGGCTGTTAACTTGGTGTGCTGCTGTGAGGGGTCACACTGTAGCCCCTACCCTCCACCGCCACTAGAGGATTCCTTGGTCAGGGTGAGACTTTCTAGGGGGATAGGGAAGGACCTCTTACTTCCCCAATCCCCTAGGGCCAAGGCTTCTGGGTTCTAGAGATGTCCCTCCCTGCTCCTGTCCAAGCCACTCTGCAACTGGTCAGGTAAAGACCCCCAGAGGGCTTCAGAGGAGTGGCCAGTGAGACCTGAGCCTGCCAGCTGCATACATCCAGCCTTGGGCTTTGGATTCTACCTGAAGACCAACCCTCCTGGTCCCTTGCCTCTTTGGGAGCTTCTGGTCATCCCTGGCTGGGGCTCTTCAAGGTGGTGTCCATGGCCCCACCTGAGGTCCTTCTGAGTCGTCCAAGGGCCGTCAGTCCATTGGGTCCCTGCCCTCCCTGATCAGGAAAGGGAGGCTTCCTGCTGTGGGGCTTCTCCTGGTGGGTGTGCTTGCTGCTGCTCTTGCTCTGGCCCAGCCCCCTTATCCTGGTGCTCTGAGATGAGTGGTGGTGGGCCCAGCCCAAGAAGGGTGTCCTGGCCTCCGGTGTAGCAGGAACTGGGTCCCTGGAGGAGGTTCCAGGTCAGGTAAAGGAGTTGGGTACAATAGGCCTGTGTGGCATTCCTTGGGATCACATTTGTCCCTGGAGCTTTGTCTTGCTGCCAGTCTGTGAAGAGCTCCAGAGAGCTCAGAGATGACCATCCAGAAAGTTTTGGTTTGGGGCCTGAGGCCTGAGAAATGGGAATATTTGCTGGAGGAAGAACGAAGCAGGAGGTGTAGAGCTCATGCAGGAATGTCCAGACCTGGAAGGTGGGTAGGACCCAGGCTTTTCAGTGGGAAAGCCACTCCCAGCCTTGGGGTTTGCACCTTACAGG